GGATCTGACCAGTGTTGGTTCAGAGGTCTCGAACGAGATATAGAACTATTTTTTGTCGCTTCAAATGATCTAGATGAAAAGTGGTTGATAGGTGTGACTGGCACATAGAACAAAGGAACTAACTCTCTAAAGGACTCAAAGGCTCCGGGTGAAAAGTAGTTGGAGGGTCCAAACAAATGAAGAATGGAGAGAGTTAGGCAAAGAAAACATACAACTTTTGAGGCACGGAGTTTGATTTCTAAGAACTTTGCAACAAAAGCTTCACCTCTCCAATCATCCCCTTTTCCATTGTATCGACATACCTAAGGACTCAAGTGATCTTGGACACCAAAGGCTATGGAAAATCCTTAACCTTGTTGATGATTGTCCTGGGATAAAAGAGGGGTCAAACCATCTTCCTAACTTGTATCTCGTAGCACCTAAGGTGGTCACCACTTAGAATAAATATTACTACCTTTGATCAAGTTATCATAGATCGTAAAAACACTAATGGCAATGGATGCAGTTCCACAAAAGAAAATTATGATCAAACCTCACAGTATGTAGCTCATGCAATGGGATGATTGGAGAGGAGAGGAACAAGCGATGAGATCAACAAATGACACCTAGGTCACAAATTGTTTTTATCACTAATAGAAAAAAACAATGGGGAAATTTCACATCCACCCCCGCCCCCCTTGTTGCGAAAATATATTTCTGTGATAGAGTTGCAAGGAGATTGGGGAGGCATCCAAAGGACATGACATTATTTATTTACAAAAAAGCTGACAGACAAACTGACCATCTGACATTATGATGTTTTTTCCACCATGCAAACAATGCAAAGAGAGCATTGGCTCAGTGGTTGGGCATGAGGTTGTGCAGCCTAACGACTCGAGTTCAATTCCTAGAATTGACAGGTGATGCATAGGGATTTTCCCTCATTTATTGAGGATCAAGTTTGGTGTGTGGTGGAACCGCTCATCAAAAAATATCTTGATACTCATTTAAAAAATTCCGAGGAGCATGTTTATCTTGGTACTCATACTAAAAATGGTCGAGGCCAAGAACTTGCCCCCGCGTCGCCCCCGTCTCGGGCGACTCGGGCGGCTCCCGAAACCCTAGCCACCAGGGTCACCCCCCACCTCTCTTCCTTTCCTCCGCCACGCCAGAGGACGCCGCCGGGCTAAGCCCGGGGGCCGACGGCGGTGGCGAAGGCTCTCCTCCCTGTATCGCGTCGGAGGGGGTGGGGCGGGACCTCCACGTGCGTGACGGCGCGGCGGCGATCTGATCCATGGTGGCGCGACGGCGTGCTCTGGGCGGAGGCCTTGGGCGGCGGCGCGGTTTCCTGGTGGCGAGCTGGCGGCGGCGGCGTGAAGAGGGCGTCGTGGAGGTCCGGGGTGGCCAGATCAGGATCCTGGGGCTGCGGCCCTGGACGGCTGCGGCGGGTGAAGCTCGGGCTTTCCGCGACGGCATGACGTGGTGCAGTCCATATCCAAGGCGGATCTGCGTCGGCGATCTCGTGGTTTTGCCATGGATTGGTTCCGATCAGAGCCGGTGATGAGCGTGCGGGATCCATCTCGGCGGCTCTTGCGGTTTGGAGAGGTGGGGTGGAGCCCTCCTCCCAGGCTCCAGTGGTGGCGCATTCAGGCAGTGGCCGGTGTGCCAGGGCTCCTACGGTAGCACTGCTGTTGCGGTTGGTCACCGGATCTAGGCGGCTAGATCTGGGGCTTTGAAGGCGGTCGAGACAGTGCACAGGTTGTCGGGTGGATTTCTTGGGACGGATCTGAGTGAAAACTTGATCTTCGGTCATGGTCGGAGCCGGTGATGACGATGCCCTTATCATCGTTTCCTTCATGAAGGCATCATCGAGGTACAAATTCCAAACCCACCCAATACCTCCGGGGGAAACCCTAGATCAGTTGATCGGATGACGGCGGCATTTATGTGTCGTTACCCCCTTGGGGGCGGTATTCTTGGAGATGCACTCGGGCTCGAGGGACCAGCGGATGGCTTCTTCGGTGGAGCGGTGTTTCTTTCTACATATTCATGGCGGCGGCTCTTGGAGGCATGGAGCAGCGGAGGCTTGACGTCAGATGTGTGGTGATGGACACGTGCAGGAGGTCGACACTGTATTGGCGTCGTGGTGGCGTCGGCGGCAGCTAGACCAGGCAAGATTGATGCAGCAGTACAACTCTAAAGATGGATTGGTGACAAGTGGCTGCGGCGGCCTCATACCCGGCAGGCGTCCTGGTTGAGGAGCACGCCAGACTGATGGGTGCCCATACCCGGCAGGCGTCCTGGTTGAGGAGCACGCCGGACTGGTGGGTGCCCATACCCGGCAGGCGTCCTGGTTGGGACCTCAGGTCTTAGATGTTAGGTTTGGCTGCGATGTCCGTTTGATATTAGGCCCAGGCTTTCAGTGCCCCTTCATCAATTGAATAGGTGTAGCGACAGTTGTTGCTTAGACGGTGGCTTTAATTTTACTGTTGTATGACTTTGTAAGGTCTTGTGAGAATAATTAATAAAGTGATCGCATGCATTGTCCAGTTGCAGAGACCGGGGTCATCCTTCTTCTTTTAGAAAAATACCGTGCATGGTAGAAAAATGCACTCTCCACACTCGTAGATGCTTGACGCGTTTTCAGTTGGTAGCAAAAATGTCTTGTGCAGAAAGGCAGATAAAAATATCAGCTATTGATCGGGCTGGAGGTCAAGTCAACTAGTGAAGCCATGGCATGACGTACGAAGCAGCCCATCATGATCCATTTGGCTTTTCTGCCAACAGCAAAGTGACCCAAGACGAGGAGACCGGCTTTGCTTCGGTCTTCCTCCAATCGAAAAGAAAAAAAAAAGCTCACCCTACTCCTAGTGGCACACCAACCAAGCAAAATTTCCACCAGACACAGTCGTGCCCGCGATTTAAATACGGCGGCGCTCGCCGGAGCCGGTGGCGTGCAGGACCGAGCAGAAAACAGCCAGATTCGTCTTCCTCCTCTCGCCAATGGCTCACCTACCACCACACTCGCTCTTCCTCCTCTTCCTCGCCGTCCATGTCTTCGTCGCATCCCATGGCTCCCCTCTTCCGCCATCTAGTGCTTACAATGATTCTGTGTGCTCGGAGTCGATCAAGTGTGGCGGCGTTGACATCAGATATCCATTCTATCTGTCGAACGCGACTCAAGCAACACCCGATTACACATCCCAGTACGCATGCGGGTACACCGATTTGAAGATCTTCTGCCAAGGCGAGGGGGCAACCGCGATCCCAATCCTTCAGCTCGGCCAAGACGCGTTACACAACTACACCGTTCGGAACATCATCTACGAAAATCACGCCATCATTCTCAGGGACACTGAAGCCCTCATTAGCGGCGGCAAGTGCCCCACAGTCACCCACAACGTGACATTCGGCAAGGAGTGGCTGAACTACACCGGCTTCTTGGAGGAGCTCACCTTCTTCTTCGGCTGCTACTCCACAGAGGGCGATCACCTGCCACCTGATTCTCCGCTAGAAAAGTTCCAGATCGACTGCAAAGGGTTCATTCCGCCTCCAGGCAGTGGAGACGGTTTTTCCTTCGTCTTCAGCTCTAAAGAAGGCAACGTTTCTCGAGAGTACGAACTGGCTGAGTACTGCAGGCACAAGGTCATCGCGCCGGTACTCCAGAAAAATGCTCCGAGAAGTGGTCCGGTCGTGTTGCCGAGGGAATACGGTGTCGTGCTTGAGCAGGGGTTCGAGTTGGAATGGAAGCAGGGCAAGGAGCAGCAATGCCAGCAGTGCGAGGAATCCCACAAGGGACGGTGCGCCTTCAACGAGAAGAAGGAATACCTTGCTTGCTTGTGCTCCGGCGGGATCTGCAAGAATCCAAACCCTCCATCATCAGGTCAGTCCTTCACAACCGGCCCTTCAATTTTATTCACATCTGCAAACAGACGGCCGATAACAACGGTCTCAGCTTGCCAATTGCCATTTCGCCGGAAGACAAAACCACCCAATTCCGTCGTGTGAGCCCACACGCAAGTTCATCTAGAGTAGACAAGAACGATGAGTAATTTGACACATGCCGTTTTTGTGCTTTATTATCTGGAGCAGTGGCTTGTCGATCTGCAACTCGTTAATAACCTCCTGTCCTGCCCCTCTCCGGTGTGTGTGCAGGCGCGGTACTGCCGCTGGCCCGTTGCAAACGCCAGCCTGATTTAATCGGAAATTCATTTCAGTTTCAGTTTCAGTTTCAGGGGCGCTTGTGCCTGAAAAACGAACGAAACCAAGAGCGCGTCCGACCATTTCGAAAAAAGAATAGCGCGTGGGGTAGGGCAGAAGCGGTAATAATATTCGTTCCCCATTTCGTCAGTCGTCAGTCGACAAGGATGGTTCCCGACCTTTTCCACACCCCATGTTCCCTACTTTGCATCGAAGCGCGCCAGCTCCTGACTGTGGGACTCGTTCATTATCATCAGGCGGACCGCTGCCTCGCGTTCGAGAAGCTCTTCTGGAGCTTTTCTTCTCTGATTTTCCGGGGCTGGACCAAACGCGTATCCTCAGCAGGTCTTCTGAAGAGAGTTAACGGGTTCCTAGTTCTTTCTGTAGCTCGGAGGTATCCAGCTTGGATTACCACCAACACCAAGTGCACTGTTTTTACAGAGACTATTAAGAGAAGTTAGCGAGCGATTCCCAAATTAAAAACCTGCCGTGGGAGACAAAAGTAAAGTAGATATCGGCGACTAGCTAGAACTAGAAGCCTTTCTTCCACGCGGCTGAGCCAATAAAGTATACCACACTAGTCTCCACGGAACAACGACGGGAGGTACCAGTACAGCAGACGACTTGCGTGGCACCCTCGCGTTATGTATGCGAGACACCGGACTGGTCAAAGGTTGCCAGCCGCCGGAGAAACTCGCAAGGCCTTCACCACTTATAAACGGAGGCGGGCAGCGCCAAGAAACAAACGACCCAGTGCATCCACCAAACCAAGGGGAGGGAAAAAGTGACCCTCGTTCGCCTAACTCCATTAGCCCATAGCCATGCCTCTCTTGATATGCCACCGGCTGCTGCTGGTTCTCCTCCTCTGGGTCGCCGCCTCCCATGGCGATTCATCTGATGATGGTACTTACGACACCTCCATGTGCCTGAATCAAAGTTACACCTGCGGAGGCGTGAACATCACCTACCCGTTCTATCTCGCCGGGGAGACAAAAGATGTCAAGGGCAACGCCAACTCCTACTGTGGCTACCCTGGCCTGGGGATCCTCTGCGACGACGAGAAGCCCATCCTGCAGCTCAACGGCGCCGCCAACTACACGGTGACGAGCTTCGACGACGCGCTCGCAACGCTCACTCTAGCCGATCCGGAAGTCGAAGACGGCAAGCCCTGCCCGAGACCAAGAATCAACCGCAACATCACTTTTCAAGAGGGATCGCTGCTGTTCTTTCCTGACAGCGCGGTCGATTACCTTATCTTCTTCATCGGCTGCAACTTCAACTTTACCTTCTACAAACCGAGTAGCATCTACCCGATCAGCTGCGAAAGCTTTGACGATGGTCCTGGTCCTGGGCTATCGTTTGTGCTTCCGGATGATGCAGTGCCCGCCGGCAACTGGGTGCAAGCGTGTAACCAAGTCATACAATTGCCTGTGCACAAATACGGCGAGATCAACCTTACTGACCCTGGATGGACAAACGGGAGTAGATATGCCAGTGTTCTTCGTCAGGAATTCCAGCTGGGATGGAACGAGAGCGCAAAGCCCCCAGCATGTACCCAGTGCGAGGGATCCAATTCCAGGGCAAGGTGCGGTTACAGCCGGACAGGGGATTTCATCGGCTGCTTGTGCCCTGACGGCCGAGTACACTCCGATAATAATTGCAATAAAGCCCGTAAGTTCTCTGAATCTGAAGCTTTTTCTTTGCAGAAGTTGCGTGTTTCTAGCCTGCCCTGCCCTGCCTCGGTTTCAAAAAAATAAAAAAAAAACGTATCCTTAATTTACACCGCCTCTTGGAGAAATACCTCACACACATGCTTTCTCACCAACTAGAGGGTCGAGTGCAGGGCCTAAACATTTCTTATCGCTGTAAACAAAGCCTATCAGACCACATAAGTCTAAGCCTTCAGTTCCGTCAGTTTGACTTCCAGGTGTGAGAGAGCCTGCAACCCTTTTTTTTGGCGGGGGCGAGAGAGCCTGCAACTTACACCAACTTGTACTGTTGCATATACTAGATGTTGAGTTTTTTTTTCCTGTGGCATGGTAATGATTCGGGTTAATAGTACATGAACGGAAGCCCAGCCAATTCTAACTCGTAGACGAGACCAATTCCCGCTCCGATTTGGACGTGATTGCTTCATGTGAAGTAAACACGTTCTATTTTACTCTTCTTGTATCTGGCGGGGAACACATTTCTATTACTCGAATGACATGTATAGGATTGTGCGCATGTTTTCCACGGGTGTTGTCGGAAAATTAGACGCCATCTTAACCATTCCGCGGACATGCCTTTGTTTTCTCTTCGGATATGAAATTTCTTAGCCGCTGCTGAAATTTGTCTTGGTCCACCGAGGACCTTTTTTTTGCGACTGAGTAGTTGGCCAACTAGAATCCTGAGAAATCCATGACACCTCCACAATATCTCCATCTTCTTCGTCTCATCCAGTTCCGACTTTAGCGGTGATGATACATCTGGTTGCAGAGCCATGCGGCTCTAGGACTGGATGCGACGCGTGGGCACGTCGCAAGTGGTGAGGTATGAGGAGAAAGTGAGGTGGGCTTCAATGAGGAGGTTAAACAGGAGTAGGGGCTCCTCGGTGAGGGCGTGGGAGAGGAGAAGGAGTTGCGACCAGTGTCAAAGCTTCATGAGGGCCAATACAAGGCCCCCCCTCCCACCCAAGAAATGGGCCCAAGCTCCGCAACTAGGTATGACATGTTGCTTGGTGGGAAGTCGTTCCTTTCAATGTGTACCTTAATTTGGCGGCTAACATGTGGGCCAACTTGCTATCATACCAGCATGTCAACCACTAAAGTCAAGGTATATCCCAATGGGAAGGGGGGGTGAGATTCGGCTTGGACTATGATTATGGTTTATATCTCATGGTTGTGGTTGATTTATCAGGTCATTTAGTGGTGAAGAAATTTGGCATTGACGGATCAAAATTAGGCCCATCTCGACGAGCCAATTTGTGGTAATAATGTTTGACCTATCTCAAACCTCAAACTTCTATTGAAGTCACCACTAACCGCCGAATTTTCCGCCCATTAGTGGTGTTCTTGCCACTGATGGCTCATTGGTTGCCGGTCACAAATTTTCGGCTACTAATGGTTGCTTTTGTAGTAGTGACTCTTCACTAATGCAAGCATGCAGCCAAACCAGTTGTCATCTCTTTAGGACATGGATCACTAGATAGGCAACCAACCACTAGACCTAGTGGGCACTGGACTTGGCTTGGCTCCATGAGGCCTGGGTGCAACGATTTTCCAAGAAGCATCATGGGTTTTGGCGGCGGATATCCGAAAAGACCATGACACCGAAGTGGTGCCACCACCTAATTTGGCGAGTCGGGCTAGGGTTTTCAGACAGGTTCGAGGAAGAAAGACCAAAATGATGTCTCCAATGAAGGACTTGATGTCCGCAAGCACCACTGTCATCAAAGTCCGTCGTCAAGACGCGCTTTCGCTTAGTCCACAACTTTCCACGCGTAGTAGCTGAATTACATCCGTTTTTGCAGAACCACCATCCTAGAGACCACCATGGGTCAGACCCAAAAAAGCTCTAGATTATACCTATCGGCCCATCCATCTTCTTCCATCAACTCGCCCACCTTACAGCCAAGAAGAACGACATCGTCCGTGAGCACCACCTACCAAGCGGAATATGACAATCATCAACCGCCAGATGAGGTACCACCCCGGCTATTGTACCATCGTCGTCGTCGGTAAGCCACCACAGTGGAGGGGGGGGGGGCGATGAGAGCCCCACCGATGTCATCCACCATAAGTGAGTATTTGACAGAAACGGAACTATCACAATTGGGGTTCGCGTCCCACAAAACTACAACTTCCAAAATTTTGACAAACTACCACTTTTTTGTAATTCGCCCCTAAAAACTATAACTTTCGGTTGATGACCCTTTTAGCCGATTTAAACACGTTTATGACAAGTGGGACCATAAGTCCAAAGACTGGGACATCTCCCGGCAATGGCCGAGGTGCTTGGATGCGACATAAATACAACACAACGGGAGATCAGGGATAGCTTGTGTCATCACCATTTACCGCGAGGCTTGGGGAGGTGGCTAGGGTTGAAAGAAAGAGTAGAGGCGACTAGCACTTGTCGGTTATACCGAATCAATTCAAAAGTCTATTGAAGGTTTCACTTTGGAAGTTTATTAGAACCATTTGAGATTTTTCTTGTGCCTTGAATGGTTTATGGATCATTTGAATTTTGAAGATTTTCGTAATCATCAGCGTTGCATTGCGTGTGAGAAGAGAAAATGGAAAGGTCAGGGGAACGGTTGGGATGTCCACGTGGCCCAAGAGAGTGTGCACACCCACCATCATAGACGTGCAGGTGCAGAATCGTCCCGAAAGGCAACCAAATCTTTCTAGATAAAACGCCAAATTTTATGATAATATATAGACCACGAGCATACTCCACAGGTGCGGCAACAAAAAAGAACCCACTGTCGAGTCGCGACTCAGCTACGGGGAGGAGACTTTACACAGCTGCGGCAAAGCTGGCGCGTCGCAACTGCCACACAGGCGTCCCATCAACTGTCACGGTGCCGTACGTCCTGCACTGCCCACCCAACCGGCCAACCCCCTCACCCGAACCCCGCCATGCTCAGCGCACGGCTTATAACCAGGAGGCAGGCAACCAACCGCGCAGAAACCGGCCTAGCTCGAGCCAACCAGCCATGCCTCCCCTCTACCGCCACCATCACGGCCATGTCATCGTCCTGCTCGTCGTCCTCTTCGCTGCCGCTTCCCATGGCGCTCCAGCCGGTGGCGCTTACGACGGCCCGACGTGCCAGTTCGAGCCTTCCACCTGCGGCGATCTCACTGTCCAGTACCCGTTCCGTCTTTACAACGGGACAGAGGATGCACTGCCGGCGTACGGCGAGCCTCAGTCGTCGTACTGCGGCTACCCCGGCCTGGCCATCCTCTGCGACGACGACAAGCCCACCCTCCTCCTCGGGGGCCACGACTACACGGTCTCGGGCATCAACTACACCAGCCTCACCGTGTCCCTCGCCGATGCCGATGCCCTCGGCGACGACACCTGCCCCATGATCGATCACAACGTCACCGTCCCGAAGCAGTTCCATCTGCCCACCTCCACCGTCGCCTACCTCTTCTTCTTCCTCAACTGCACCTTCCTGCCGGACGCCGATGTCATTCCCAGGCCATTGCGCAAGCCGCCGAGCATCAAGCCGGTCACCTGCAGGGGCTCCGGAGAAGAGCCCGCCATGTCCTTCGTGCTGCCGGAGCGCGAGATCCCTCCCAAGGACTGGTGGCAGGCGTGCCGGTCAGTCTACGCAGCCCCGGTGCTCAAGGACGCCCTCCCGGCGGACGCCACGGACCCCGGATGGAGGGAAGACGGGTACGCGAAGGCTCTCCGCGGCGGGTTCCAGGTGGGCTGGGACCGGAGCTCCGGCCCGTGCGGCCAGTGCGAGCAATCCGGCGGCAGGTGCGGCTACAACCGCACCGCCGGGTTCCTGGGCTGCTTCTGCGCCGACGCCGATGGCGCCCTGGTAGCGGGCAACGCCGCCGGCTGCAGCAAGATATCTGACACCACAGCGCCATTGCCCGGTAAGCCCACCGTTCACATCAAACTGCTGCAGCACTTCTGTGACTGCCCGTCCTTCACTCGCAACCAACAATCCGGACACTCTGGGTAGCTTCGCTTGGCAGTCACTAGTAGTAATTTGCATGCCATAATTGAAGTCATCATAGGCTCATGGTACTCGCTAGCTTCATCCACACTCATAACCTGACGGATGCATAGGCCGCCTGACCAACTTAGAATTTTCAGCGTGTGTTTTTCAAAAAGAAAGAGAAATATCAGCGTGTGAAAGGAACCAAAGCTCTCCCTCGAAAAAGAAAGGAAATCGCGTCAGTACCATTCGTCCTCCCATACCTTCTTTTCCATCCGACAACGATGCCTCCGATTTCCTTTCCCATGGCCCAACCGTCATTGCGTCGAGAGGAGTTAATACTCTCTCCGGAAGATCCATGTCCAGCAGATCACGTCGATCGCGTCGGCTTCACTATACGGCTACGCGGGGAAGAAAAATTCAATGCACAGCGACGCAGCTCCGTCCATGGACTCGGTCGTTCTGAGCTCCAAAATCGTCTCCGATCATGCGCTAGCTACTCCCTCTGATCCAAAATAAATTTAGTTCAAAACTGCGACACTTATTACGGATCGAATTCATGGCCCGTCTGCTGTCTTAGCTGCTGCAGCAGCTTCCCGGCAAGAGCTTAACCAGCGAATTAATGGTTCGTTAGGTGATCGGTCGCGAAGTTGATGTGCACTAGGCCTTGCCCTGTTTACTTGAAAGGTCGACATCCTTTCACACTTTGTAACAGAAGAAGAGAGGCACATTCATTCGACCGCTGGTCGTTGTTGCCCAGCATCGCTGGTGTTCACACCGCATGATCGCCATAGGGCAGGTGAAGCAACCTGAGATCTGGGCCGCCTCCAAAATCTGTGCAAATCTTCTATCATATGACTACAAAAGCGCTACTTTGGACCGTCAACATCTGATTTGAACAATCCGGGGGCGTGTTATTCAGCTTTTTATCTTTTGACCTAACCTAGACCGGTTCAGATGGTGTCAGTTGGTGGCTCAAAATTTGAGCCCTTTCTGTTTTGTGGGGAATAATTTGAGCCCTAGTGCAAAACAAACTCTAACTATGAAAACCAAGACTTTCCAGACCATTAGCCTTTGATCTGAATGCTCTTTTAGATGTCATGGTCAGATAATATTTTCATTTTTATGAGGGAAATCTTTTCAGTGTTTCAGCTGTCTTGATCATGTGGTTTTGCCTGACTTTATGACTTCTTCAAATTTCTTTTCTGATGCCGATGCCCTACCTAAACTTATCTGTCATGTTCCTAAAATACTAATATCTGACATACCTATATATATGTTAACTGCGACTTGAAGTACTAAGCCCTCACAAAATGCTTTGCTAGAACTTTATCTGAAGTCCTAGTATTGTCGTCTTATCGTCATGATGCACGATTTCTTGAAAACGAAATGTTAATTCTTCAACAAAACTATGAAAAGATGAATGAAAAGATCTTGCGTCTGCTTTTGTCTTTTAACCTAACCTATACAAGTTCAGATGGTGTAAAGTTGGTGGCACAAAGTTTAGCCCCTCTCTCTTTGGTGGGGAATAAATTGACCCCTAATGCAAAAACATTGAAGTTCATTGTTAAGTATAAAATCAAGACTTTCAAGACCATTATTCTTTGAGTGCTTTTCCAAACGCTGTAACGTCAATTGTCAGATGTTCGTTTCATTATTTCAGCTGTCTTGAGCATATATTTTTGCCTGCCTTTATGACATCTTCAGATTTCTCTCCTGATGCCTATGCACTGCCTATTGTTATCTGTCATGTTCCCTTAAAAACCTATCAGTCATCTCATAACATTATCCAAAGTCCTACTCCCTCCGTTTCTAAATTAAGCCCTTTTAGAGATTTCAATACGGACTTCATATGGATGTATATAGACATATTATAGTGTAGAATCACTCATTTTGCTCCGTATATAGTCTATATTGAAATGTCTAAAAGGTCTTATATTTAGGAACTGAGGGAGTAGTATTTTCGTCTCACTATCATGATGCACCTTTTTTTTGAAAACTAAATGTTAATTCTTCAATGAAACTAAGAAAAGATTAATAAAAAGATCCCGTGCGGTACTCTTTTATTGCAAGATTTGGATTTTAAAAAATGCAGGTCGTTATTCATAGATAGTGAAAATCTATAAACCAATCATTTCGATTATGGCCAAGGTTTCCAGGATTAAAAAGAATAACAGGTGTGACTTCTTTTTTTACGATGCAAGACAGGCATTCTGTTGATTTCATTAAGATAGGGAAAAAAAGAGAAAAACAGAGTGTTGTCCAGGGCTCCAGGCCAGTTCCCCATGCTGCGTCTTTGGTACCGGCAGCAGATGCAGAATCTTCTCAGATATTAGTTAGATTTCAACAAATAATCTGAATCAATATTCAAAAATAACCAATTGACGATTAATTATCCCTGTAAATCTCCATAGACTTCATTTCTAACTTTTTATGTGCTTGTTAATCTTTCTTGCAGGATCGAAGAGCAGAAATAAGATGGTTATACCAGGTATACATATTTCCCGTGTCACGTACCAATACACATGCAGTTAATTTCTTGCCTACTATATTCAGATGCGTCGCACAAGACCATTTTGAGCTACATCATCAGTTAGACTGATCTGTAATTCATTATATGTGATATATGAACTCTTGCGCTTGCTGCTGATGCCTGTATTTAAACTGCACTCTTTGATTTAGCTGCTAAAATATACCAATAAAATTGCTCTTTTCACCACTTCAATCCTCAACCTATGCTCCCCGCAAAAATAAAAAGGAAAAAAAACTCAAACTATGCAATGTTTACAGTTCACCAAATATTATACTAGAAGAAACTAGGGAGATGGAAAAAAAAATCAGAAAGTTTGGTGATTCACATTTTTTTGGTACGACTCACCTGCAGGCCCTGTCATTAATATGTTTGATCTTCATTCGCTATTCTAGGTGTAGTGGCCGGTGTTGCCGCAGGCTTGCTTGCTCTTGCCGTGATAGCTTTTTTGTTCATTCGCAAGAGAAGGCAGAGGAAGGTCGTGAACTCGTCTTCGAAGCTCCTCAAGTACAGGTACAGCGGCTCCGGCGGGACCCCGACGCGCTCCAGGGGCGGCGACATGGAGTCCGGCAGCAGCCAGGACATGGGCAACCGGTTCAGCTACGAGGAGCTCGAGGAGGCCACCGATTCCTTCAACGAGAACAGAGAGCTCGGCGACGGCGGCTTTGGCACCGTCTACAAAGGTACTACAACACGTGAAATGTACTTGTGCAACAATCTACTGTAGCTCCGTCGGTGGAGACCTGAACTTGATCATGGGTTACCTCCCTCTGACTTTGATCCGTCGCAGGTTACCTGGGGGACGGCCGGGTGGTGGCGGTGAAGCGGCTGTACAACAACAGCTACCGGCGCGTGGAGCAGTTCGTGAACGAGGCGGCGATCCTGGCCCGGCTGCGGCACCCGAACCTGGTCATGTTCTACGGGTGCACCTCCAAGGAGAGCCGCGAGCTGCTCCTGGTCTACGAGTTCGTCCAGAACGGCACGGTGGCCGACCACCTGCACGGGCCCCGCGCGGCGGAGCGCGCCCTCCCGTGGCCGCTCCGGCTCAGCATCGCCGTGGAGTCCGCGGCGGCGCTGACCTACCTCCACGCCATCGAGCCGCCCATCGTGCACCGCGACGTCAAGACCAACAACATCCTCCTGGACACCGACTTCCACGTCAAGGTCGCCGACTTCGGCCTCTCCCGCCTCTTCCCGCTCGACGCCACGCACGTCTCCACCGCCCCCCAGGGCACCCCAGGGTACGCACCCGTGCATGTCACTCACTCCGGTCGATGGCATATAGTACTGTTGTGGAAACGCAGGAGCAATGTAACCAACCGTTGTGTTTGATTGTTGCGAATGAATGGCAGGTACGTGGACCCGGAGTACCACCAGTGCTACCAGCTGACGGACAAGAGCGACGTGTACAGCTTCGGCGTGGTGCTGGTGGAGCTCATCTCGTCCAAGCCCGCCGTGGACATCACCCGGCAGAGGAACGAGATCAACCTGGCCGGCATGGCCATCAGCAAGATCCAGAAGTGCCGGCTGGAGGAGCTGGTGGACGTGGAGCTGGGATACGAGTCGGACCCGGCGGCGAGGAAGATGATGACCATGGTGGCGGAGCTGGCGTTCCGGTGCCTGCAGCAGAACGGCGAGATGCGCCCGCCGATAAGGGAGGTGCTGGACGTGCTCAGGGCCATCCAGGATGAGTGCCTGGGTCACAAAGACGGTGGAGGCAAAGGCAAGGACTTTGCCGAGCCCATCTCCCCCAACACGGTGCACGCTCCCTGGGACAGCAGGACCACCACCCCTAACACCAGCCAGTAGTAGATTAGATCAGTGTTTGCGGCCGGCCGAGTTTTATTTCACCGCTGTTGAGAGATTTGCTTGCCGTGTATGATGAGCGATCCGACGATTCTTTTTTGTCCCTTCCAGGTGATGTAAATATGTGTTTGGTTTTTTAAACTGCCACAGTAGAGACAGTACTGTACATAGTGCATACGTACATTGGAGTGGAGTGCTGAACTGGGTATATGATACATATGATTACATAGGTTTTTACCATATTGTGTTCTCCTGATCCTGAGTTCTCTCTATTCTGCAGCCCCAACAGTCAGATTCTAAGTAACATACAGTAGTACACAAATGAAGGTGCAGAAAGACGCAACGAATGGAAAGTTCCTTTTAAGCCACAAAACATATAAACACTATATTTGCATATCCAGACTAGAATATGTTGCTTCTTGTGATTGCTCCAAGACTTTAGACCGCGCCACAAAGTGGCCGCAAATGTTCTATCCTTGTCCCTCGTGATTACAGACAATAACACGGTACACTTTTACATGATGGAAATCCTAACGCCACCGGGGGTTGCAATACAGGTTAATTAACCGAGAAAGTTAACATGTTGAGACGTACCCTCTTTGATAAATAACAGCTTATTCACCAGCATCCTGATTCTTCTTCTCCCACATTTAAACACAGCTATTATCCCCTCTACCGCAGGAACTGTCGCCGTTGTTCCTCGCTATACACTATGACACAGTTGCTTGATTCCCATTCCATGGTGCTCAGAAACTACTCCATGAACTGTGCAGACGTCATACCATAGATCACCAAACCAAGCATCTTCTCCTCCTAAACTTGTCAACGTCATCTGAGCTCATTCGTGGCTTTTCAGGAACATCCACTGTTTTGGATTTCCCAACTCTGCTATCCAAGCTCTTCCGCGAGATCTGCCGGCACTTTGCAGCTTCTTGGGTTTTGTCCGAGGATACAGATTCTGCGTCTTTACGAGATGTGTCTTCCGTTGCTGGTAACTCTTTCAAGTCAGGTTTTGTAGACTTTTTGCCAAGGCTCGACACAAACTTCTTCAAGTGCCTGATGTAGTCAGGATACAGCTCAAGGTTGCAGTGCCCACCGCCACTTAGCCACAAAGGTGAATGTTTCACCTTGCAAAGCTCCCATAGCTGCTTTCCGTGGGACCAATCAACTACGTCGTCTGACGTGCCCTGGCATAAGTATTATAACTGTTTCAGTTATGACTACTGAATAACTAAAATTCTGATATAAAAACTGTGGTGATACATGTTATATCACCCCAGCAACTTCAACATCTGATTGTTCATTTGGTTCATTTTTGTGTAATTTTTACATACTTGGCTTGGTGAGCATTTAAAAATGAATCATTTATATTCAGCTTCTCAATGTAGTGGTATTACAAATCCAAAACAAATCCCACTATCCCACCAGAGAGGTAATGCAAGACAGCAAGAGGCAGATAGTATTGAAAAAGAAGAGGGTAGGGTAAACTAATAGAACTTACATGAATGACAAGAACTGGACAATTTACCAAGCTGATCTTGTCAACATTCTACAAAATGGAGGGAAAATATATCAGCTATTTATCACCAACTCTGATGAGGAGGGTGCAAATCGAATTTACCTTGTAAATGTCAAACCAAAAAGTTTTCTTGACTGGATATAGTACTCTCAGTCCAGATAAAATGGGACTGTGCAGAACCACAGCTCGCAAGTTTGGCAACCGTGCAGCAAGATCAATGGTTGGACCACTTCCAACAGATTGGCCATACAAAATTATATCCTCATCTGGCACACCATATTTTTCCTTGAGGCAGTTATATGCTGCTTCAATGTCTGCATATGTATTATACTCAGTGGGCTGTTCAATGGAAGAATAAATTGTCCATTAAAATATGCTTGCATACAAGATTAGCATTGCCACGTAAGTTAAAGATGAAGCAGAAAACACAAACATACCTTCCCTGTAGACCTCCCATAACCAGCATAATCATACCTGCAACACGTAGGGGGGTCTATTAAGATGGATGTCAGGGGGGAAACATACTCTTCTGTAGGGTACTAACTTTGAGCATAAATCAAGCGTGTGTGTGGGTGGTGTGGGGGGAGGGTCTTGGGATCCATGTCTGCTTAATTCCAATCATCTGGCACATTGGTGATCCACTAGACAGACCCACTAATTATGCCTCGAAATACAACATACCATCTCCTCATCATTCGAAAAGTTTCTTGTGTCAGATCCAAGCTACCTCCACAAAATACATTATCTTATTTCTTTAGCACCCCCACAATGTCGGGTACAGTACCATGGCCCCATTGTTACCGTATAACGGTATAACTAACAAGAGATAGCCTGGAACTGGAACTATTAAACTCAAGTCACAGAGTTTCTGCTGTAGCATGTACAGCACACTACTAGGCAACCGCCTGCTTTCTGAAATCCATCTAATTTTAGAAATGAGGTCGAGATTTTCTAAACTAATGGACTGATACGGTGTGTCCCTTAACACCAAAAGCAAGAACCAAATATACATTGAGGGTCTCGCCGTGTTGGACAGCAATACAAAGATAATTTTCATGGCTGGACAGATTAAATAGTGCTAAGCAGGAACCAACAAATACAGATGAATTTCATCCGCACTAATACTAGTAACTAGTTTTGTTTTCCTTATCTTGTGTGCAATTCGAAAATTTGAGTCTAAAAGGATCTGCAGCAGTGAAGTAGCACCAAAATAAGATGATCTTACCCCGAAATAATATAGAAAACCCCCTTTTGCAAAATTACAGCAACCAATCAGAAATAGGCACACCGAATCTAACACTAATAAATGCACACCACATATCCATTTACTACCCAGTACGCACCTTTCCTAATCGTCTCCCGGAAGTTTCCCCTAACGGAAACTTCTCAGCCGCAAGCAAGTCCGGCTTCGAAAGTGAGGCGGGGGGAGGGGAGCATTACCCGAAAATGTTGACGCGGAGGCGGCGGCTGAGCTCGACGAAGAGGCCGTACATCTGGCCGAGGTCGGCAGCGTTGCCGTGGGAGTAGAGCAGCGTGGCGGAGGCCCGCGCGTGGCGCACGTAGACGGCCACGATCTCGTTCCCGCGGCGCGTGCGGAGGCGCACCACCTCCGTGGCGTCCTCCTCCTCGGCGGCGGCGGCGCCGGAGGAGGAGTCCCCGCCGCCGTCTCGCCTCCGGCGGCGCGCGGGGGGGCGAGAGATCTCGGGGATGAGGAGGCGGCCGGTGGCCGCGTCGGCGACGACCGTGTAGGAGGGCGGCGTGGGCGGGAAGAAGGCGAAGCGCGCGGCGATGGTGGAGGTCACCCCGCCCATGTCGGCGGACTCCCGGAGGGGCGGTGGGGTCAGCTGCGCCGCCGCCTCGGGGGGAGCGGCGGCATGCGAGGTGGGAGAGGGTTTGGATCGGAGGGTTTGGTGGAGGTGGTGGTGGCCTGGTGGGAGCAGAGAGGAGGGGAGGGAGGTGGGAGCTCACTCGCTGGAGCGAACTTTTCGTGGCGAGTGTGCTTAATTTTTTTAATTTTTTTTGAGGGGAAGAGTGTGTGTGTGCTTAATTCTAGTGTTGGATTTAGCTCGGGGTTTCCTTTAGATTTAGCGAAAGGAGCGAAGCGGTTGGACTCACCCGGACTAGCGGAATGTGGCGGATCGGCTGAGGCCGCCGGCTGCCGTGGCCAATTCTGCGGTCGTCGTCCTAGTAGACTAGTCGGTCTATGGTGGATTGGTGGGTGGCCAACCAGTGAAAGATTTCTCCCTTCTTTCTCTTTTACTAATCAAAATGGATTTGCCTCAACAAAAAAACTAATTAAAATGGATCATCACAGTTGTAAATGGATGGCTAGAGATGGTTTAGGTTAGGCGAAGAGAACTAGGAGTCCAGCTATGTACTATGGAGTATGTGGAAGGAGAGAACGTGGCGAGGTTGGTTCCCTTTTTAGTTTCCCGATAAAAGAAAAAGGTTGTCTTTAGGATGGGGGGTGTAAAGGGGTGACGATTGCAGCATACCAGTACATGACAAGCTGTATGGTTCCTTTTCTAAAGAACCCGTCGGTCTTTCCCTCTTTATTTAGCTGCGCTTCATCGGGGCGGGTCATGTACTCGAGCTTGGAGTGTCTCCTACACTTAATTAGCAGAGCTCGAGCACAAGTAATAAACCTACACGCATATACAGAACGGGCAGGCACGACGCCCCCGCACGCGAGCCCAGGCACACACACACGATGCGCCGACGGGTGAACCCGTCCGTCCCAGAGTGCGAGTGCGCCGGACGCAACAATCGATCTTTTCACTCCTGCCGGTTGGATAGGGATCGGTGGGGAAAGTCCAATCGGTGGACGGGGGTCTCTCCGTCCGTTTCCTCCTTGTTCGCTTTTGATCCATGTGCACAGCCACCAAACAGGAGATGTGGCATCATATCTCGGGACGGCGTGATGGGCATGGGAGACCAGGTCACGAGGAGCAGGAGCTCCTTTGACCAACGAGTTTTCTCGAAAAAAACTCGTCTCCGATCTGCCGCGCCTTCTACGCCCGATTCTCCCGGCAAAAAACTACAGCTGGACCTACATATTCGGTCCCTTTTTTTCATTGAAATCGGGAGCTTTATTAATGAACAACCGTAGTGTTATCAGTGGCGGCGCCAGGATTTTAAGGCTGGGTATTCATTGGCACATAAAAATACTCTAGATGTACTATAAAGACACCAGTATGACAATAGTAATTTTTTAATGCATCAGACCATACTAATTATACATGAACATAAAGACACCAGTACCTTTTATTTGACAGATTGATGATATCCCATCTTACAATATAACTTTGCGATCGTCTTTTTGGAAGAGATTGATGACATCCTCATCCTTTAGAGAGAATTCCTTATTTGACATTCCCTTAAAATCATGTTCTTTATTTGACACTGGAAAAAATTTCTTCCCTATATGACCTATAGTCTTAATTTCTTTTCCTATATGACATTCTAGAGCATTTTGTTCACGTGA